TTTAAAGTGACTGTGGAAATTCTGTGTATTACAAAGTTGTATCGAGAAAGAATAAACTAGTTTTAATTAAGAAAGTTCTTGTATTGCTGAATTTCCTCGGAAAGAATTTATACCGGAAATTAACAAACGAGCAGATACGCAACAATATCTTCCATGTATTACATGCCAGTCAATGAGTTAGTGAGCCATGTTGTTCATCATTTTGTTGTTCCTCATGGCCCACACACATTCACAACAAATAATGAGGACTGAATGTACTTAAAATAAACCTGAATCTTTACATCTAGGAATGTTTGTCATTATGACCTTACCATAAGATGTTCGAAAGCATGCATACTAAAATCCAGCTCAATTATTTCTGTACAATTAGGTTTTTTGTACTTTTCCCTTGTTGACACTTCTTTCATGCAGTCATTGACACTGTAAAAAAAAATTCAAATTATTGATACATAATTCATTTCAAATACTACCAACTCATAATTCATAAGATCAAGAGTTCAAATTCTCACAACTTTTTAAAAATTTTTTTCCATATTATATTCACTTTCACATTTAGTGATTTTTTTACTTTTATTGGTGATAAAATGTAACATTTAGCACCAATATTTGATGACAGTAAAATTAGAATATCAACATTGAATTCACATGGTAGTTACAGTATGAAATAGGTTTATTGTACACACAGAATCATGAGTAAGTAATTTAACTGCTTACACATGCTGTATAAGCATAAATTTAACAGGTAATAAAATAAGTTGGCTCCTGATTTTGGAAATTGGTGACAGAATTCTGAAGTTGGTCATTTTATTGGCTCCAATCTTTTATAAGCCCGAGCAGTAGCTGCTTTCTTTACTCAAAAGCAAAATGTTGGTTTAAATATTATTTAAAAGCAATTTTTTTACTGCAACAAACTTTTATTCTTGACCAATTCATTATAAAATATAGCTAATAAATATGTAAATGTCTACCATAGTTTACTGGTTCATGCGATCTTTAAGCTTTTATTCACGTATCATGCAAGGCTAACTTTACAGAATTTGAAACTTATCTCTTACAAAACTTGTTCATAAATATTTTAAAGTTTGAAGCCCTAAAACTACATCAGGTATGTCATTGTTTTCACTTTTGAAAGGATAAAGCCATGATACACCCAAGTTTCTTATTTCAATTTACAACTGAAAGCTATTAAATCAACATCAAACCAAGACTAGAAAAAAAAAAGCCTCCTACAAAAGTAAATATATAATGGATGTTAACTGTTCCATGAAGTTTTTTTCCAGGATATAATTATGACAGGATCACATTCAGACTTCTAATTTCCTTGTTAACTATTTTTCTGTGCAGTTTAAAAAATATTGTACTCAATTCAGAAATATGATTCACCTTTTTCAAATGTATTATTGAAATATTTCAAAAAGCTGATTAGTCACCATGTCATAGTTTTCACCGATAGCTAAACGTTTTTATTTTAAACAAAATATATGTTACTCATTGTCATCAGTCACCTGATGAGTCATAAACTTTTCAAGTTAAGCAGAAACATGTCTGTCAATTATTTACTCCAGCAAAAATGATTTTCTCCCGCAAATTTACATGTACATTATGTACAGGTTTCTTTTCCAAAAGTCTACACAAGTTATACCATTTAAACAGGGCTATAATAAAATGAAGTAAGTGTTTATAGGTGATAGACACAGGCATTATCAGGTCTCAATATGAAATGTCACATTAAGAAATGCTAAACATTTCAGGGATATAGAAAAATGCCTAATATATTGGAGTACTGACAAGCCAATTGGCAATGACAAAGAAGTGAAATTAAATGAATTCAACTCTAATCAGCACTTATATTTTGGAAAAAGACTGGATTTCTTTTACTAAAGCACTAAAAGGAACATACACTGTTATGTAGAGAAATTTTTGGATGTGTTGATAGACTCAATTAAACTCAAATTGGAAATATTAACAAATCATAAATTAAGTAACAGGAAAAGTGGATTTAAATGTGACTTCAGATCATTATGTTAGGAGTATCAACATTAAATGAAACTGTGGACATTTTTCCCACATAAATACTACTGTGTTTATTATTTACTGTGGCCTTCACTGGTTAAAAGATGTGATGTACCAAACATCTGACCTGACAAAGGCCCCAGTAGTCAAACTAAAAGCTTGTAAATATTAAACAAATTAGTATTTATAAGAAATTATGGATCTCAAACGCACTAGTTTTATTGTTACTGTCAATGCTAAATATAAAACGTTTTATCAAATCATAAAACTCACATTTATAACAACATGAATGGTAGGTTGGAAGTTATTTACATGCACCAGTGATACTTTCTTAGATATCCCCTCCATCATATACCACAGTGGTAAGAACAAAAGTGGCAACTACATAATTAAAAAGTTGCCATAATGATATAGAAATATTTTTAAATCAACTGGTAAAATATATTAGTTATTTACAGTTATTGTGATTACTATAAACAAACATTGAAAATTAAGATAAAAGATGTCATGATAGAGCTGATGACTAACTCGATTAACTGATGTAATCAATTACCTATGAGCATTGATTACATGAATTAGTGTCGGGTAAAATAACTGATTAATCAAAATTAAGAATATATCGGTTAACTTCATGAAAATAAATCAACTAGTGTTTCCAGTTATTAATGTTTTTGATTATTTCAACAAATCAGTAATCTAAATAATGTATTTATGACTTTTCCCTTGGTAGGTGTCATTTTTATTCTAAAAACGTAGATTTCACAAAACATCAACACAATCTACTTCTGGATGAAGAAGTAGCTAGAATCCAAGTGAATTATTGATGTCTTACAGGTACAGTAGAATTGACGGGTATGCAATTTAATCTCTGAGAGAAGAATTTCTTTGAGAGGTGGAAATTCATACCTGAGATAAATACACTTTGCTCAGAGCACTTATGATTGAAGACCTCCTAAGGTGAACTTTCAACCAATTTCTCTAAATAAAGTATGAAAAACGACAGATCACTCCACATGCTCATTAAAAGGAAATCACCAAATATCAGAAGCTACACAAGCAAGGATGCTGGTCCCCCACGTAACAGCTGAAAAGCATGAAAACCATATAAATACTGTTTAAGTTAAAAACAGAACACCAAGAAAAATACTTTAATAAAGTCAGAAGAAAAAATAACCCAATAAAAGAGCAAAAATTCCCCCAAACTATATAATCTAGCACCCATTACTCTCTGGAAATTTTCCTTTAGTAAGAAACAAGGATGAGAGTTTAAGCAGCTGCAAGGAAGAACTAAATGGGATGCCTCCTTGAAGTCCACCGAAACCCAATAAAACTGAATGTTCCCATCTCGTTCTTATCCCAAAATGAAGAGGTGTATGCAGAAGAAATAATTTCAGTCTTGACTATTATAAACAGGCATGAAAGCTGAAAGAATCTGAAATTTCAGGAATGCAAACAGCAAATCAAACTTTTGGCTGGTTCTGAGTCCTAGCTCATAAATCTGGGGGTCCAGGGGCTTTTGCAAACTCTGGAATACAGAAGGGTCTAAGTGCTTTCTGGTGTATTTTAGGGGAACTAAATGTTCACATTATTTTCTACTAAGATGATCAGCAAACATTGGAATTTTTTCCACTCTACCTCAAGTTTCAATGATAAAAATTACAGACCAGTTAACATTAAAACTGGGTGATTTAAGCTATTACCCATAAGCAGCAATTACATCAATTAGTGTCATGAAAACTAACTTATTAATTAGTTATAATTAAATCAATTAACTGAAATTAGTGTTTCTGGTTATTAATGTTTTTGATTATTTCAATGATTCATTAATTGAAATTACAAATAAATTGAGTAGGCACAAAAATAATCAACTAACCAAAATTAGTGTTTCTAATTATTACTATTTTTTTTATTATTCCAACTATCCAAGCAATTGAAACATTGCTATTATGTTTCTTTGTTGTTAACTATAAAGCTACATACTGGGTTATCTGTGATCTGCCTAATTTTAGTCTAATAATTGTTTTTCTCACACAAGAATAATATCTCATGAAAGAAATATATATTTTATATAATTCTAAAGAAATGTGTGAAAAAGGAACACCATTAAAGCTAATAATGAAAGATTTAAAGCCTATCTCTATGCATATACTTTTCAATCATCTGCCATAATACATTGAAGGAGTTCGTGCATTTCTGTGGTCTTTAGCTTCAAAAAACATTTTGCAATTGGTTGACTCTCTGTCAATCAGCCAGTTAAAATGTGCCTAAAATATTGATTTCAATTTAGTGTAAACCTCAAAGCAGACGAAAGTACTCTCCAAATGAGCCTAATAGTACTGATATTTTTTCTTTGGCCCCAAGAACCCCCATCCACCAACAATTTTCTCGGCAGATTTGAATTAAGTGGGTGGATGGCCAATTTAACAAAATAAATGGTAAAAGTCCACCAATAGTTGGCCCATCCTTATTCTTGAAATTTGCAATGGCAAATACACACAAAAGTAATATATACAGACAAAAGTATGTAATAAAAAAAAAGGCTTAAAAAAATTTAAAAAAATGTCATTATGCTATCACTATCAAAGTTAAAATTAATTGGCAAGCATAACCTATTTCTTGAAGGACCTGAATGCAAATGTAGACACCATTTGTTGGTGAAAGGATTATTTTGCGAATACACAAGATTATCTAAACATTACTGCCCATAAAACTTTGGTTAGGTCAAACCTAAATGTTACATACCTCCACATTCATTCATGACTTAGTAGTTCTATTATTTAAATTAATATAAAATTTATTTCGAAAAAACTAAAACTGTTTTTTTTTGCAACTTAACCATATGTTACTGACAAATACTCTGATTCTCTAACAACCAAACTACTATGTCAGACAAGAGTGCATGCGTTATTAAATTTAAAAACAATTATTTAATGATCACAGAAAGCATAGTGTACCAATTAAACAAAATTTCATACAAGTGGCAGTATTAAAACTTTGAAGTATCATATACACTTTTGAAAATTTTATACTTTTCTTAAATAATTAAGGAGTATTCTGTAAACCACAATGCAAATTACATGTGTATTGAGGATTTAATTTCATTTTAGCATTTATTCCAAATATCACACTGCTTATAAAATTACAATGCAAAATAAGGCAATAGTTGGGTCAAATAACCTTATTAAACAGTTCTGCATTTCATTCAAAGTAACTTATCTAAAAATTTGAACACACCTTTCTCTAAAATATATATATTTATCAATTAAATATATGATGAGTATAATCCATAAAACTTACATGGCTTGCCTGAGTTCTTTTGAGTCAAACAGAATAACTGTGCTGAAATAAAGATCAAATTCTGTCAAAGGTTTGCCTGCAATTATACAGTCTTCATCTGTGGAATAGATTTTATCTTCAAGATTTGTTTCTTTATCTTCTCTACGATCAATCTCTTCTTTCTGGGTCATTAAATGTTCTTTGAGATCTTCAACAAGCATAGCTCTTTGCTCTTGCTGCATTAAAGCCATTAAGTCATAAGGTCTTTTTAAGGAAAAGACAGAATCCATCTAAAACCAAATTTAAAACAAATCATGTCAATATTGTCAGAGAGTATCTAAATCACTAAATAATAAACAATATGGACAATTTCAGCATTTAATGAAGATGTACAGACATGCTAAGCAAGAGAATACAGGCTTTAAAATAACATGCAGCTATACTGATTTTCTCCTAAGTTTATTTAAAGCATATCCAAAGTCTGACATATATGGCACAATACCTTTATAACAACATGTAAGAGAAGAAAAATAACATAGCTACTTTAATCTAAAAAATTCAAATAAACAGCTCAAACAACAAAAGAAAAAAGAAGACTTGAAGAGTGAAGCACAACAAAATTACTTAAACATGTTATAATTTGTTATTAATTTAAGATTATGTACTTATTTTCATCATAGGAACTATACGAAATACCTTATTAATGGTTTACCTTGACTCATTGGTGTATATATTAACAGAAAACACATGCTTATAGAACTTGTATTTTAAAGTTAAAAAATTATGATTACAAAGAATACAATAATAATGCATATTTAAGGCTTAATAATTAATGCAATCTTACACATCATAATGTGGAAAAATATTATAAACTTATGTTTTAAGATTAACATTCATTTGAAAAAAAAAAAAACAAATTACAGGAGTTGCTTATTTTGCGTAAATGGATATTGGTTATTGTTACTATTGCAGTTCTATTGTAACAAGATACCCATTCTACTTGCTATAGTATAAAGCCAATTACATGACCAGAGAGTGAAGATTTATTTTATTCAAAAATTTCCAGTTACTAAACCTGTTTTGTTTAACCTTTTAAATTTTCATATATTAAAACACTTTACTGAAAACTGCTGTACATATCATCATTATTTATATAATTTTCTACTTGCTTCTTTGTAACATTTACTGAAAACAATAGAAAAAGCTGCCATAACTTTCTACAATGTTGTTAATTCTAATACTTAAAATACATCGATCTGATCCACAAATATGAAAAAAGACAAAGGTACAGGAGGTAAATACAGATATAAAAAAATTGGAGATTTAATATAAACTACTACTCAATGGAATCTGAATGCTATATTGTTGAATTGCAATATGTTGCTTTAAGTTTTAATTCCACTATATCTCTGTGCCATGTGTTCATTGTTGACCTTTTAACTCACTAAAATGTTTTATTAATATTATGGCATATCCCATATGGGAATGGTGTTACTGGCCTCTTACCTACATAGTTAGCAATCTTCAACCAATCACATTATTATATCATATTCTTCACAACATATTTCTTTAATTTAATTCCAAATAAATGCCATTATATCACATACGACATTGAGCATGGAACGTAATATTCTACTTCTGGTTTCTACGTAATAATTCAAGAGCCTCTCTATAACTACAAAGTTAAACTTAAACGTTACTCTGAGAATGTACTGCATATACTATAATTATGATATTAATACTGTTAGTTAATACCTGCAATTTCCGAAATATAAGATACATGCTAATATATAACATATGAGGTAGTCACTACAAAGTTTATGGTTCTACGAATTACACTGAAAATTAAAAGTTCTAGCATACTGCGTGAAAAAAAAATTATTTTTTAAAACTGCAAGTTGCTACTTACTTGAGACTGTATCTTCCCATCTTCAGTAACGATCCAGTGGGTCGACGCTTTACCATATCGTAACAAAATAGTAAATACACCAATCCATAAATTCAATACTACAATACGAAATCCCATCTCAATATACAAATCCCTTCACAATGGTACCTCAGACTCAAGAAGTCGAACTTTTACACATGAAATATCCATCATGGAACTTGGGAAGTGAAGCGCTCCCTGTCAAATAAGGCATCTGACAAAATAAATTACTAAAAATAAATATGAAGTCCAATTTATCATTTGATTTACAATTTATAACTGAGTTGTAATGGTTTCGTAGAATTACATCCATCAACAGTTTGCTTGTTTGTTGAATTTCGCGCAAAGCTACTCGAGAGCTATCTGTGCTAGACGTTCCTAATTTTAAAATTATAGACTAGAGGGAAGTCAGCTAGTCAAACCCACCTTCTGCCAACTCTGGGCTACTGTAAAGGAATAGTAGAATTGACCGTACATTATAACACCCCCACAGCAGAAAGAGCATATTCGGTGATGGAATTCAAATCTACGACTGGCTGATTGTGAGTTAAGCACTCTAACCCAGTAATGTACACAGGGGTGGTAGGGTGGGCTCAACTCCCAGCCTTCCTCCTGTTATGTCTCAAAAGTGCCCCTTTTCTTAGTTAAAGAATTGTCCACAACAGACTCGCTTGATTCCATATCTTGCTTGTGGTGAGTTAGAAAAAAAAAAGATTTCAGCTTTAAAATTAATGACACACAAGGACTCATAGGTCTGTACAATAAAAAAAAAGAAATATGATTTGAATAGATGCGACAATAATTATTTGTTGTGAATTGGGCAGCTGACACTGTTTAAACGTAGGAAACTTTCAAAGGTAACTTTTTAAATATTCAAGATAAGCGTATTCCTCATAGAAATAAAAGAGAGGCTACAAGCCTGTAAGTAAAAAAGAAAGCTGGTAAAATAAAAAATTAGGACATCAAAAAGGATGCATGAAAAAGTTTTAAATACATTCAGGGTAAACAAAATGCTAGGATTGGGTAGGACATTTGAGGGATTATAAAAGAAGGCTTGTATCTGATTGCTATGAGATGGCAGGGTTATTAGATTATGCTTTTTCTTTTGTTTATACTTTTCACAATTTAAGCAACATTCCTCATCTTGAAAGTTGATAGATGGAAACCCGATCGAACAAGATGATCACATTAATTCTGAGCTTGTTAAGAAAAAATTGGGAAGTTTAAAAAATGATAAGGCTCTTCAGCCAGGTAATATTTTCCCAAGGGTTTTGATGGATGTTAAGGATTGGATATGTGAGCCACTTGCTACTATTTTTTGTGAGTCCTTGAATAGTGAGCAGGTGCCAGCGGATTAGAAGTTAAATAATATCATTAAAGTAATTAAAATAATCCCAGTGAATATAAGCCTATTAGTCTTACATAAATTGTGGGCAAAGTTTTGTAAAGTTTGATAAAAGATGTTAAGCAAAGTAATTTAACAAAGTTTAGAATTTTATTGGATAGTTAACATCGTATTACTAAGGGAAAAATTTGCCTCACAAATCTTTTGACATTCTTATGTAGATGAGGGTAAGAGTGTAATTTGGTGTATCTGGATTTTCAGAAAGCATTTGACAAAGTGCCACATAAAAGGCTTGTAAAACAAATTATCTGTATAGGTTTGGGGGATAAGTTAGCTAATTGGATAGAAGAGTGGTTGGATGAAAGAAAGCAGAGGGTTGTTACCAATGGAATTCAGTCAAACTGGATTAATATCACAAGTGTGGTACCTCAGGGCTCAGTCTTAGAATCTTTGGTCTTTTTGATTTACATCAGTGACATAGATGAATGAAAGGTCAATAAATTACTTATATTTGCTGATGATATGCAGTTCTTTGGCGTTGCTGGCTGTGAGGAGGATGCTGCTGCTTTACAAAAGAATTTAGATCATTCAGTGAGTTGAGCAAATAAATAGGAGATGGGTTTTAATCATAATAAATACAAGATAGTGCATGTGGGTTATTATAATTTTAATTATAAATATACTTTGGATAGGAATAACCTTAACAGTGCTATGAAAGAAAGGAACCTTGGTGTAGTAGTTAATTATTTTCTTAAGCCATCCAAGCAGTGTGCTTTTGCTAATTGTAGGGCAAATAGGATTTTAGGTTGTATCTACAAAAATACTGAATACAAATCTGAAGAGGTTATAATTTCATCGTATATGTTACTGGTTAGGCCACATTTGGGGAATTGTTGGAAAGGGTTCAAAGGATAGCTACTAGAATGATGCGTGAGATGGAGGGGTTGTCATACAAGGAAAGATTAAGATTTCTAAAACTGTTTTGTTTTGCAAAAAAGAATGGTTAGAGGGATATGATGGAGGTGTTTAAGATTGTTAAGAGAATCGATAGTGTTGATGCATCATATTGTTTCTTATTTCATACTTAATGGTGATAATGGTAGGATTAGGGGAAACAAATATAAATTTTGGCAGGGTAGGAGTCGTCGTCAGCTAAAACAATTATATTTTTCTAACAGGGTGATGAGCCTTCGGATGATGTGAAGGCAGTAACTACATGAATGATAACGGCTGGCTTTGAGTTTTTTATTTTTATAGCTTCAATTTAGTTTAGAGGATTGGACAGATTAGATGGACCAATAGGTCCCTTGTTGTCTCTAAACATTACGTTATGTTAAGGGCTGATATGCAAAAATTCACTGTTTAATTTTAGGATTTAAAAAGGATCAGTTTGCTTTTCATGGTTTTTACCTATGAGTACCAGAGGCAACTCACACTTCCCATATTTTCCTCTAACACCCCTCCCCACTCACTTCCAAAAAAAGAAGACTTGCCTTAAGATGCTTGAAGAGTGATCTTTTTTTTTTTTTTTCAATGAGCAGTTAAGACCATAAATTTACTGCTGACGCACCGAGGGACAGGAAGAAAGAAAACAATTTTAAAAAGTATAAAAAAATTTATAAGAGATACAAGTCTTAACGTGAATGAAGTAAACACTATAAATTATCACATTATCTACATAACACATAATATTCTAACTTCTTACTAAGAGCAAAAAAATATTGCTTCAAGTGACAAGTAGATCTTAATGTCAGGTTAAATCTAAACTAATGAAAGACTGGGCGTGGCTTAATGGTTAGTGATGAACATGGCTGCTTATCAAAAATTCCCAAATTAGAGTTCGATATACTGTGCCACTAAACAAGCTTCATACTTTCAACTGTGGGTGCATTACAAAAGTGACAATCAATCTCGCTATTCGGTTAAGAGTAGCCGTGGAAGCAATCAGATGTTGTTGAATGGTTGCTTTATTTATAGTAGCAGTTCATAAATAGAGACAGTTAAGGCCGTAAACTAGGATTATCATATGCAGGCATATCATATGTTCCCACCATCTTTAGTAATAAATACTGGGTGTTTTGAAACATCATTTAATCTATTTCTATGCAGTTTGTTCATAAATACGTGGCCCATAAAAACTGGTGAACTTGTTTTCTTCTAATTACCTTCGTGACTTTGTTCTCTATAGTAGATACCTTCTCTGCACAGGGGGATGTTGTAGTAAGGCCGTACGTGCACATAGAAAGGGTCAATGCTCGCAACGTCCTTTACTGGCTAAGTGGATGATGCCGACAAATGCCAAGGTAGAACGACCAGGCACGTGATGATGCTATCACGGAGAAAGCATACGATATTTCTTGCAAGATTGGAACATATATTTTTTCTCAATTACATACATAGTTTTCCTAGTATCTAGTTCGGGAGAGACGAATATTGAAAGATAGAAAGCTGATGATCTATTCACTGATCCATGGAGGCGATTGTCGAAACGTCTAAGAAAGATAGAAAGCTGATGATCTATTCACTGATCCATGGAGGCGATTGTCGAAACGTCTAAGAAAGATAGAAAGCTGATGATCTATTCACTGATCCATGGAGGCGATTGTCGAAACGTCTAAGAAAGTATGCACATGTTTGTTGTTACTTTAGTAGTGTGTACAGATAAATAAAGAATATTTTCACTTCCCATCAAACATGTCCGGTTAGTTTACTTCTCACGTGGCTTAAAATTCGGTTGAGTTTTCGAATTTAGATTACTTTGTAAATTTCCTGTTTATTCCTCTCGTTATCAAACGAACTAATCTGATATTTGTGAGAAAATCAGTTTATCTAAAAATAACACAGGGTTTCTGACCAGCAGCTGTTTAGATTGTGTCGCATACAGTGCTGTTTAAGTTGATAACACCAGATACTAAGTTATTGCAATGCATTATTAAAATTTAAACAACAATTAAATATTAGAAATCGTAATTATGACAAATGTATACAATTTACAACAGGTCAATCTGATAATAATATTAAAGTAATCATTAACAAAATGTTTGAACCATAGATCCATAAGCATTCACTACAACCAACAAAGAAACTTCAAAATCTTGAGGTCAGCGATTCAGAAGTTTATAGCCCCCAGTAGCTCAGCGGTAAAAACTGAAGGTTTATAACGCTATAAAACCGGTTTCGATACTGGTGGTGGGCACGGCACAGATAGCCCACTGTCTAGCTTTGCGCTTAGTAACAAACAAACGAGAAGTTTATATATATTCTATCTTGAATTCTCTTTTATTCTTCAGATTAAATCTACATTTTTATAGGATTTTAAAAACATGTAGCATTGATGCTACTAATTAAATAATTAATTCTTCTGAATTATTTAAGAGATCGCCGTAGACCTCTACCAGATGGCACTGGAGTGCACAAACAACATCGATTCTGTTTTCCCACTGCTAAGAAGGAACAGTACTTCCCAACTTACTAATAGTAAGTTGCATGATCACTCAATGGCTTCACAGTTAACAATACTTACCAACTAGAAGCTGAAGCAGGAAAACAGAAGTAGTCTCTGTCTCGAATTTTTTACAAACTGAAATAATCTTATAGGAATGTTTTTGTCCTGCGCGCTTCCTAAAAAACAAAACAAAAAACACCGTCTATTAGGCTTAAACTTCGCTTATACAAGAAAAGTTGTCTAGTATCCAGAATATTTTAGAAATTTATAATTACATATTTTTTGAAATACTTATTTGTCAACGCTTTCTGAAAAAAGAAAATAGAGACAGAGAGAAGTTTATATTGTATAATGATGGAAGCTGGCAGACATGTTCAGCTAGGATAAC